CCTGGGGACGGGCGCTGACGGCGGGGGGGGGGGGGTTGTTTTGGCCCCCGCAGGGGTGCACTGCGGGAATCACATCACCTCCCACGGGCTGGCGCTCAACTGCTGCACCGACCTCACCTGGTTCGACCACATCGTCCCCTGCGGGCTGGAGGGGAAAGGCGTCACCTCGCTGAGCCGCGAGCTGGGCCGGCACGTCACCGTCGACCACGTCCTCCAGCCCTTCCTCGACTCCTTCCAGGAGGTGTTCGACTGCACCTTGGTCTTTTCGGAAGACCCGGGGGACTAGGAGAGCCGCGGCGCCTCGGCTGGGTGTTTCGGCAAACCCTCGGCACGGCCGACCAGCGGCGCGGCAGCCGCCTCGGGGCTTCGTCGCCAGACAAGGGCTCTCTCGTGGCTTTGCCCGTAGACCGCGGGCGAGCGCTGGCGCAGGGCTTCGGGCTGTTGCTGAAATATCCAAACCGCCGTGGGGGCTGCGTGCCCGGCCCCGCGGGTCTCCAGCCCTCAGCTGAGACCTCCAAGGGTCCCACGGCCCCGTCGCTGGCTGGGGAAATGTGCAAACAGGCGCTTTTGTGTGGGTTTTTTTGCCTCTCTCTTCCCCTCCCCCCCCAAAAAATCCAAAATTTGGGTGAACGCTCCTGCGCCCTTCGGACAAGAGGAAGAGGGACCGGTTGGTTGAGCGTCCTCCCCTCGCCGCCGCGTAGAAAGAGGCTGATTTACGATAAAGAGAGTTGCTGGGAACTTTGGCCGCTGATCCTTTGCTCGTTTATTTACGCCCAGACTTTATGAATAACGACTTTTTGCTCGCCCTGCGCCCAGAGGAATCCTCACGCAGCCAAGATCCTCGCCCTGGTGTCGGGGCGGCCGGAAAAATCGCTGAGAAGAGGCTGTAAACGGTGGTTAAAAGGCCACCGGAGCGATGCCGACGCGGTGGGAAAGCAGGAGGGGAGGCAGGGGAAGGGGTGGGGGTGCCCAAAAATGATCCCGGACCCTGTGGGACTGCGCAGCGTCCCGGCTGGGCGGCGGGGGCCTGGGTCCGTGGTGCTGGAGGAGCTGCCGAGGGGGTCTGTGCGGGTGGCGTCGGCTTCCCCGAAATGGCCGCAGCACCCACGTGGGCTCACAGCAGCCGTCCCGGGCGAAGGGCCGCGGCCGCCCAGCTGGTCCCGATGGCTCCGTGCCCGTCGCTGCAAACCTACAGGCAGACACAGATAAATGGGTTTTAATCGACAGGATCTCAAGAAGCCAACCTGAGACTGAGCTCCCTGCCTGCCGCCCCTCGGGGTGCTCGTGGCTCCCCCGGTGCGTGGGCACGAGGGGCAGCGCCCAGTCTGGGCTCTCCGAAACCGTCCCCCGTCGGCACGTGGCATGGCCCCGGCCGCTCGTGAGAC